GAGTTATTTGCGAAAGAGCGGTTACGTTTTTAAACGTGACCAAAAACAAAATGATGCAGTTGGGCTTTAAAAAAATCTTCACACCACCTGTAAGATGGAATAAATAACCCAAATTCACTTCAACAAGATATTTTGACAGACAGCTTTCTTTCCGCATTTGAGATCAAAACACACACAGAAAACTGGTTTCCCTTGGATTCTGTGCTACAAAAGTGAATTTTGTGGCAAAACAAAAAGAGTAAACATTATCTCAATTTAGGAGTGAGGATCCTCCAGGACTGTTTCCAGCTTGAGGATTTTTCAGTCTATAAAAAATCGTAATGTCCTGGAGGAAGCTCAAAGATAAGTCACTTACACTAAAAACAAAAAGTATGGCTTTTAACCAACCCCATGAATTACCAATGTCTGAAAAGGACAGACGTGGGTGGAGGACAACAGCCTACATTTATTAGCACCTATTAAGTTATTTTATTTCATCCACACATCAGTCTTGTGATATAAATATTAGTAACTGCTGATGGTAAAGCCGTGACTTGCATCCAAATTGTTCTGACTCTAAAAGCCCTTATTCTTGTTTTCCCCCCACTATATTGCCCCAAAATAAAATATTTATTTCTTGGTGTTTTTTTTTTTCATTTTAATGGTGTGAATTATTTTCTTTCTCTCTTTCTCTCTCTCTTTTGGTTTCTCTTAACCTGAATTAGGCTTTTCCTTTAAAAGTTCTCATTACAAGAAAAACCTATGTGTGTGACTCTGTGTGGCGATGGATATTAACTTGCTGTGGCGATGGTTTAACAATGGTATATACAAATATCAAATCATTATGTGGTGCACCTGAAACTGATATAATGCTGTATGTCAAGATACCTCAATTTTAATTTATTTTTATTTTTTTTTAAAGAAACGGTAGAGATTTTTTTTTTTGGGCTGTGCCACACGGCATGTAGGATCTTAGTTTCCCGACCAGGGATCGATCCCACACCCCTCTGCACCGGAAGCACAGAGTCTTAACCACTGGACCTCCAGGGAAGTCCCAAGATCAATTTTAAAAATCAGCCTTCTGCAGCCTCAGCACAGTGGGCATTTTAGGATGGATAATTCTTTGTTGTCAGGAGGCTGTTCTGTGCGTTGTAGGGTTTCAGCAGCACTCCTGGCCTCCACCCACTACATGCCAGTGGGATTTTCCCCCGGTTGTGACAATCGGAGATGTCTCCAGGTGTGGAGAGATGTCTCCTAAGGGTGGAGGTGGGGCAGCAAAATTGAGGACCCTAGTTGAGAACCCTTTACTTAGATAGAGATCAGTCAGGGAGGGGACTCCATTCCAGTGGGAGAATGGGTGAAGTGTTGGAGAGTCTACTGGTTGCCCATCAGGAGTAGACTCAGAAAAGCAGGGTAGAAGAGGGTGTAAACGCCCCAACCCAGACCTAAAGATTGGGTGGCTCTCTCTGAACTAACTTCCACTGTCATCACGTGACAGATGTGTCGAGCTCTTGGAAGAGCACATTAGCATAGCTTTAATGCAGAAAAGGAGACTGCTAGAATAGAAGTCAGAAACCCCAGGGAGCTTTAGAAGTTGTCTATAAATAAATAGAACATACTACATCGGCTCTAGTGGAATTTGACATAAGGTGAGCTGATCCAAAGACTCGAAATAAGGTTATTTCATTCAAAGGTTATAAAGGCTCTTTGGAATACACCTCATGTGTTGGAGAAGGGCTTCAGTGAATGAACATCACTCTCAGGACTTTGTGTAGCTCAGCTCACAAACATTCAACAAGCACATTCTCTGCTGAGCACTGAGGGATGTGAGAAGAGCAGGTGAGAGCCACAGTCCGTGCCCTGGAGGGACTGTCAGTCTAGGAGAGAGACTCGCAATTACCGTAGTGGGAAGTGCCAGGTGTCATAGAGAGATGACTCCTGCAGGGGGGACGTGTGGAACCTTTTGCATCTTAACGTTTATACCTCATCGCCAAATGGTGTTTTAGGATGAGCAAATTAAGTAATAAGAATTGGAAAAATAAGTAAAATAAATAAATAAAAAATAAAAAAAGAATTGGCTGGGCAAAGTGATATTAAATGAAGTATACAGGGGGCAAATTTGGGGGGAGGGAGCAGCAGCTTGCTGTAGAGTGGATGGCTATGGAATGCTCCAACAGAGATGCACGCACAGTTTTGTGTGACAGTCACACTAGTAGTTGCATTACTTTCCACATGGACCCTTTATGCAGAGACCCAGTCTTGCCCTTCCCCACACTTATTAGAGATGTCATATGCCTCTGGTTTGTTCTTTGTGGGACATCTAAGTGATTTAAGCCCTTGCTTCTCCACCTTTTCATTCTTTTCCTCAAAACTAACCTATCCACATTTGCTACCAGCTCAGGACTTTCCTGAGCTTTATGGTATTGTACGATTATCTTTCATAAGTTCTGCCTAGTTAGTGGGACAGGTTTGGCTGATGATGATGCGTCCAAGAAGCTTTGTTAACTCAGCCTAAGTGCTTTATAATATCACACCTGGTTCATGGGCATCCAGGATGCCACTTCGCGTTCTCATGCTGAATACCTGCGAGTAAACTTTGGTTCTCTCTCATCCTCTCCTAGGCCACAACCCAGTCCGGTCAATCTCCTAGTTAGGTTACTTCTTTTTTTTTTTTTTTTTTTTTTTTTCCCAAATTTTTTTTTTTATTTTTTTTTTTTTTTTTATTTATTTTTTTTTTTTTTCCTCCGCCGTGCTATCCTCCATTTGTGTTTTTTTTTTTTTTTTTTTTTTTTTTTTTTTAACCAGATATTCATTTTTAATTATTATTTATTTATTAATTAATTTATTTATTTTTGCTGTGTTGGGTCTTCGTTGCTGCACGTGGGCTTTCTCCAGTTGTGGCAAGTGGGTGCCACTCTTCATCGGGGTGCACGGGCCTCTCACTATCGCGGCTTCTCTTGTTGCGGAGCACAGACTCCAGACCCCAGGCTCAGTAGTTGTGGCTCACGGGCCTAGTTGCTCTGCGGCATGTGGGATCTTCCCGGACCAGGGCTCGAACCCGTGTCCCCTGCATTGGCAGGCGGACTCTCAACCACTGAGCCACCAGGGAAGCCCTAGGTTACTTCTTGATAATGTCTCACACGTTTCTAACGGTCCTGAAATCCAGATTACCCCAAGTGGTATCAGCACTTCCAGCAGTGCTCCTTTCCGACTTATTTTGAATGCCACGATTAATAAAGCTGTTTAGAAATGTAGCATTTTGCTCGTCAGGGCCCCTGTTTTCCACTGAGTACGTGCACGAGTCCCCAGATAATTTCCCTCAAGTCACCTTTCCTGTCAGTAGTGTGCATCCTTCAGCAGTGACCGTGGTCCTTCCTGCCCACAGCACCCCTTCCTTCCACCGGGCAGCGTGCCTCATTGTCCCCCAAGTACTCAGAGAGCAGCTGTGATTCATACTACCCCAGTGTTGAATTGCCTGACCTGTTTTCCAGATGAAGGATTTACTGGACAGACTTCATGTCTTATCTTTCTTCTGAGATAGTTCAGTGCCCACCAGTTATATTAGTAATACCTTAATCAGAATACCCTGTCAGAACTAGAGAGAAACATGCTAAAGATGTTCACATCATTTTTGTGGCCGTTCTTGAGACTGACTGCTAAAATTCTGTAATAGCTTTTACTGTTTAATCAATCAGTCTGTACTTTATTGGGTTAAATCTATATTAGTTCTGATATGCAGTATTGAGCAATTCAAATTTTAGGAAATCTATGGATTTGCACGTCACGTTTTCTTGTTGCAATTTTAGGAAGTATTTACTGTGTGATTCACCGTCCCTAGAACAGAACCCTTCTCAATCAGGGCAGAACCACGGTCCAGAACGTACTTGCAAACATTGTGGGGGGCTGCATTTGTTTGCTGTGGCTGCCATAACAACATTCCACAGACTGGGTGGCTTAAAAAACAGAAATCTGGGCTTCCCTGGTGGCGCAGTGGTTGAGAGTCCACCTGCCGATGCAGGGGACACGGGTTCGTGCCCCGGTCCGGGAAGATCCCACATACCGCGGAGCGGCTGGGCCCGTGAGCCATGGCCGCTGAGCCTGCGCGCCCGGAGCCTGTGCTCCGCACCGAGAGAGGCCACAACAGAGAGGCCCGCATACTGCAGAAAAAAAAAAAAAAAACACAGAAATCTATTTTCTCACAGTTCTGGAGGCTAGAAGTCCCAGATCAAGGCAGGTTTGGGTTCTTCTGAGGCCTCTCTCCTTGGCTTACAGATGGCCGCTTCCTTGCTGTGTCCTCATATGGCCTGTCCTCTGTACGTGTACCCTCGGTGTCTCTTTGTCCAAATTTCCTCCTCTTATAATACAAGTCAAATTGATTAGGGCCCACTCTAATGGCCCCATTTTAATTTAAACACCGCTTTAAAGGCCCTGTCTCCAAATATATTCATATTCCGAGGTGCTGGGAGTTGGGACTTCAGCATATGAATTGTAGGGGAAACAGTTCAGCCCACAGCAGGAGCCCTGTTTTTTGTTGCCCCCGAAGTCTGGGAATGTGTTCCTGGCATCGTGGGCAGGGGCCTTCATGCTAAATGCTTACAGGGTGGGGGACAGACCTACACAAGGGAAAAATGTTCTATTCGAAATGCCAGGAGCAACCCCTGCAAGAAACACTGCTCATAAATACGCAAGCATCTTAACATTTGTCCTCATACTGCTTCCTTTCATGGGTCACACTGAAGTCGCACATTCAGAAAAGCGGCCCAACCAATGCATAAAATGTCTGAAAAAAATGTTTTTGCATATTTCTACCATAGATGCTGCCTCCGTGGACTTGGAAATGATCGATGTGCACGTTTTAGCAGACGCTTTCAAACGCTATCTCCTGGACTTACCAAATCCTGTCATTCCAGTAGCCATTTACAGTGAAATGGTTTCTTTAGCCCCAGGTGTGTTGTGTCTTCTGAGAACCTCCCTTAGCGTGTATTGAGATGTGGATGTACTTGTCAACTCAAGGGCTGCAGATGAAGAGAGATTTCTTAGAAAATGTTAGGAGGGGTCTGCCCCCACCCCCATCAGCACAAATTCCCTCCCTTACCAGGGCATCCGATAGAAGAGCCAGATTCTAGTTTGCTTAGGAAGGCCGTCCACATGTTGAAATGGCTAATTGTTAACCTTTTATCAGTATTTTAAGGTTCACTACGTCAGCGAATGCCTCAGCCTGCCAAGTGCCATCACTGGATTCAGGGAACCGGACTAGGACCCAGTGACTGGGGATGTTCCCATCACCTTCCTCCAGTGGCCATTAGAAAATGAGTTGAGGGAAGAGGACTCTCCGTTTTAGGAGCTAATGCTCAGTTAAAGTGCTTTGGGGACAGGAAACTGTGGTTCGTAACCTTCAAAGTTAAAACCTGTGATACTTATCTGATGCTCCTCCGAGTTAGCCAATCACACTCGAAGCCGCTCTATGGACGGCAGCACACCGAGAACTTCTTGTGGTTTTGTACACCAAGAGTTTCTTGCACTTCCATTTGACTTGAGATTTTGACTTTCTCGTAATGCCTTTTCTAATGAGAAGAGCAAATGTATTGTCTGCTGTTTCTGATGCCTTGGTTTCAAATGATCCCTTGGTAGCTAGAACAGAAATTTTCTAGGTGTTTATTCGCTAACAGCTAGAAACAGTCTCTTATTCCTTTTGCTTTCTTTCTTTTCTTTCTCTTTTTGACCTGTAGAAGTGCAAAGCTCTGAAGAATATATCCAGCTGTTGGAGAAGCTGATTAGGTCGCCCAGCATACCTCATCAGTACTGGCTCACGCTGCAGTATTTGCTAAAGCATTTCTTCAAGCTCTCTCAAACGTCCAGCAAAAATCTTCTGAATGCAAGAGTGCTCTCTGAACTCTTCAGCCCCCTGCTTTTCAGATTCCCGGCAGCCAGGTAAGTGATAGAAGAGCAACCTGGATTTTGGGGTGTTGAGGGTAGTCCTAAGTTTATGGGTCATTAAGCTTCTTCTGAAGATACCAGGTCACAAATGCTTGTACATAGTTCCATCAGACATATTCATTTGAATATGCAGAAATGAAAATAAGTTTGTTGTTTAGGGAAAAAGGTGTCTAATGGATCTCTTTTTTTTTTTTTTTGTAGTTCTGAGAATACTGAACACCTCATAAAAGTTATAGAAATTTTAATCTCCACTGAATGGAATGAACGCCAGCCTGCACCAGGTAATGCCTTCGGAACATTTAAAATTCCCTCACTGTTCGTTTTTTAGAGCCTGAAAAATGGTGGTTTTTAGTCTCCTCTGAAGTGCCATAAGTTTCTCATGGAATTGAGATCCATAATAACATGTTACCTTATGACTTAAGGGAAAAATAGCTGGGCAGCAGCGCGTATGGGTCAGTATTATCCAGCTTTTGATATTTGTGGCTTTTACGTGGTCTTGGTTTCAGGTGAGGGTTGCTGGGAGAGCTCCCCAACCCCCTTAACTTGATGCTTCTGGTTGTTGCATAAATTATGGCGTTGATTTTCGTTGCTGACATTTTTGTTTTTCTTTCTCGTACTTACAAAGTAGGGGATTTATAATTACTATATAAAGTATTTTGGAATGTGTTTTTTGGAAGCAGGTAGGCTGAGAAATGTCTTGTCAAAATAAACATTTATAATAATGCAAGTAGTATGAAACTAGGGGTCTACTGCAACAAGTTCGAGCAAGCCAGACACTTCTGTGAAAGCAGGCTGGCATGCAATTAGCCGCTTAACAAAGCGGGAAATGTAGACCGAGTTAGCAGTGGATTTCATTTAAATTGATGTATTTTTCCTCTACTGTGGAAAGTCTAAACAACCCTACTTTGCTGTATACTGGTTAAAAGGGAGCTGGTCATTTAGAAAGTGATGAGGGCCCTAGAAGTGAAGTGGAGTTTCAGGACCAGTAGAAGGTGTTGCTTGTATTATGAATTTATGTCTTGAATTTAATTAAAACATCATGTATTTATTATTTGTTATGAGTAACTCATGCAAATTACCAAACTTATCTCTGTATGAGCAAATGTGGGGACCCAGATATCAGTCATGCAATGGCGGACTATGTTGTGCTTTTTATTAAGGTGTTCCATAGCTAAGCTTAGTTGTTTGCATCGGGAAGGGGCAGACAGAGAGGTGAGGGCCTAGACTTAAAACCCACCTGTAGGGATGGGATAAAGGATGGGATGGGTAACCACTCATGATACAGGTATTGGGAAGGGCTTCTGTCGACAGATCCAAAATACGGGATCCACAGGTAAGAGTGGCAGCATAAATACTACGTAAGGCAAGCCTGATCCATTCCAAGTGTTCGAAATCCCAGCAAGCAGGATATGTAACAGGGATACCCTGGATTGTAAACTGCATCAGAGAAATACCCTGGATTGTAAACCGCATCAGAGAAATCTGTCAACAGGCACGGCCCAGGACTGGAGTTCCAGAGGGTGACCAAAGGTGTCATATCGTGTGACTGCTTGGGTCACTCGAGAATGGATTTGGGAGCTCTGTGTTGGTGTTCAAAGGCTGCCTTTGGGCTCAGTAGGAAACGATGCAGTGATAGATTAGAAGTACCCTGTGGGGAGGGGACAGGGGCAGGTGTGAACGTGGCACTGGAGCCGTATATTGACTACCCACTCCTAGACTGATCACATGGGTGGGAAGAAAGAGGACCAGCAAGAACAGAACAGGACCCCCGGCCAAAGGATCGAGCTCCGATCTTTCACTTCCTCCTGACCCGTGTGGAGGTCCACCTCAGAGAGAGGGAGAGCTGGGCCCTGCTTGCAGGGAAGGTGGGGGAGGTGCCCAGTCTTCTCAGTGGCCAGCTCTCTGGAGAGGGGAGACATGGAAGCTAAAAGCCAGACAGGGCTTGACACATACCCACAAGCGAATTTATCGCATGGAGTTTTCGAGAATTTCTGCTACACGGGGTGTAGTAGAATCAGTGGTGGAGTTTAATGCTTCTGCTTCTGGTGTAAACTGGTTAAACGTCTTTCTCAGTTTCAGCCTAATTCCACCCAAGAAAAACTTCATCGGCATCTGTTTTGATAACGCACACTTAAGACTGCTTGCTATGTCATAGACCCTACCTACATCCTTCTACTAAGAAATTGGTGTATCAGTTTCAAAGGCAGATGGATTAGTTCCATCAGCTCTGTTGAAGAACGATCCATAAAGCCTTGAACGTTGCTAGACTATCCCAGAACACATGCAGCCTCTTCCAAAAAATTGCATCCAAGTAATTTTTAAGTCCTAGTTGGAGGCGTTTCCCCCATTGTGTGATCTCTGTCAACTATTCTGCAAATCGTATGGGACTTTTGGAATTAAAAGGTTTTTTCAGCGTCTCTCACTGGTGAAAACAGACTACCCACCCCAGGACAACGTCCTCATTAACACCTTTGTATTCAGGAATGGCTCCAGTGCAGACGATTGGCAGGGCACCCTGGGTTAGAGAAATGACTTCTTTGGCCTGGTAGGAATGGGATGTTTTCATGGAGTCTTTCATCATTACCCCTGCATGTGCTCATCGCAGTGGGCTGGGAAGCACCGGCGCATCTCCAGGGAACACTGGTAAATCATCCGTTTGCAGTAACTTTGTCATGAATAGAAATGAGTGCTTGAATGATATTTGGGGGGTGGAGGACAAGCAAGACTATTATGGGGCGAATAGACACCTTTTCTAGTTGTTATCAGTTAGAACTTGAGATGATAGGCAGGGCTAATGATGTGTGAGGCAGCATGTCAGTTGCAATAAGACCCGTGAGCACACAGCGTCTCATTAAATTCTGGTCAGGAGGGTGTGTACTGTAAGTATAAAAAGAATTTGAGAGATGTGGTTGGTGACTTTTTTAGTAGACAGGAAAAGCTCATAGGAAAAAAAAAAGACTTGAAGTGGGCTTCGAAGAATAGGTACAATTTGAAAAGGGGAAGGAGAAACAGCATCTCAGTTCAAGGAGTTTCAAAGATTTCTTCAAAATAAATTGGAAAGGACAAAAATAACAGCTTGATATTTTTACCGGATTTGAAAAAGCAGTAAATATTTTAGGTGACAGCGTCATAAAAAGCATCACTTGAGAGCTGAATGCATTGTCCAGCTCTCCGTTTGCACGTGAAGAAACTGAAGACCACAGAGCTTGACGGTTTCACCTGGTGCCACCCCAACCAGTGTGAGCCGGAATGGGTCTGCCGGGGGTGGGGGCACCCAGCCCAGACACCAGGCTGCTGCTCTGTCTGCTACCTGGGCTTTTGGAACCTTCGTGGGCAACGGGACTGCCTGTAGTGTCCAGTCAAAAAGTCCTCCGAAGTTTCCAGCAAGCGATAGACCAAGAATAGGTGATATTTGTACCTGTGGGTCACATATAGTAAAGAGCCCCAGTGCAACTGTTGGTAGCTTTGGGGATCAGGCTCAAAGTCGCTCCGCCGTGTGTCATGCAGTGGAAAGAACAGTGCAAGTCACGTCTGGGTTTGAATCCCAACTCTTGCTGCTTACTTACCGAGTTCATCACCAGGTCATTCAGCCTTTCCAGACGGTGTTCCAGTCTGTGAAATGGGAATAACACCTCTCTCCCGGGATGGTTATGAGCATTTAAATGAGGTGAGGAGTACTGAAGCTTACGACCCTGTAGTATGTGCTTGGTGCCGTTGTGTCAGCTCTGGGGTTTAAGGCCTTGCCGGAGCTGGCCTCGTTCAGGGCGCCATGTCCTCAAGCCGCCTTCCTGGTTAGTGCCGTCTGAATCCTACCAGGCCGTTCTCCCCACTGGTCCCACATACCCATGTTCCCGACCAGCGGAGCCTGGCCTCAGGATGCCTGGAGGGGACTTAAACGCAGATCTGAAAAGGACACTCAGTGGGCAGTTGCTGCCCCGTGGGCACATTGCTTGGAGGGAGGAGGATGTCTTTGTCTGACACCCTTTGCTCCGTGTGCGACTCAGGGAGTGGAGGCGCCTGGATCTCAGCACCAGCCCCAGCGCCGCCGCCCCTCCCCCGCACCTTGCCCAGGTGCCTTTACGCAGTGCACACAGTGCACAGCCGTCCCCAGTGGCCCCGAACAGTGCCATCCTCTTCATCTGCACCCAGGGAGCTCCTCCCCTGCTTGATGTGCCGGGTTTTGACCCATTCACTACATTTATGTCCTTAAGCCCCTTGTCCTCTTATACGTAACTGTTCTGTAGTTGTTCTGGTAGTTTCATCAGCTTAGCTACATTTCTCAAGGACAAAGGCTTCTCCTTTTCAGCTCTTCTTAGCATAGAACTGGGCACAGCATAATAATCATCCAAATGAAATCTCAAAGAACTCTAACACACCAGCTCATTTAATGCATCCAGCATACCTGTGAAGGAAGGCTTCTCCCCCTGTAGGGAGGGAAACTAAGGTTTGAAAGGCTAAGCACAGAGTAAGTTCTCCGAACTTGGTTGACAGTTTGCTGTTCTCTTTGTTACTAAAAGTCTTAAAAAGGGTTAAAGCTGAACAGCGGGTTTTCTTGAATCACTTCGTGTTACGTTTACCCTACTGATCCTTAGGTCGCTAAAGTAGATTTCTATAGGGCAACTAAGGTAAAAACGGACCATTTAACACTGAGTGCCTTTGAATGAAACCCCTTATAAGTGTATTTACATATTTCAGATTTCATGGATATATTGAGAAATATTAATGTAGCATAATTGAAGTTTAATATTGCACCCTCAAGCCCAGAGGGAAAATAAATGACTCTTTCTCCCCCCCTGCCCTTCTACACCTGTCAGAGTTAATTTTTAACTGCTGGTGCATTTGCAAAACATTCATCCTGAAGAGCCCGATTCATGAATCTTGTTTTAAATGCTCTGGGCTTGGTTTGCAACCAAGACTAAAGCAAGCACTAAGGTAGAAGGAAATGACTTTCAAAGAGTTTTACTTTTCTCTGATTTATTTTTTATTGGGTTTAAAATGTGGTCTGACATTAGAAGGTTGTTTCAAAGGTGAGAAGTGAAAGTTTGAAAAAGCTGCGCATGTTTAGAGGGGCAGGAGTAAGCAGGCAAGGCGTGTACTAGGTTTTGTCAAAAAATAGGAAGTTTTATTTGTGCTCTGAACAGGAGCATGTATTGGAGGGTATAGTTCAGTTTTACTTTTGTTTTCACAGTGCAGCCTTCTCTTTCTCTCAAGGGACATCTGAGAGGGAAATTGTGGAGAAGGGGTCCTTTTTTCTACTAAGCAATGGGCGCACCTTTTCAGA